TTACGGAAGCTTCTGTCATCATTGGAGTCAAGCAAGTACCCATCGATGCCCTGATTCCCAACAAAACCTATTGCTTTTTCTCGCATACCATCAAAGCGCAGGAAGCGAACATGCCCTTGTTGGACGCACTGCTGGAAAAGGTCTGGAGATTTTAAAACATTTAATTCAATTTTTTCGTTATCCGTTTAAAATGTATTTCTATCTATTGTGGGAGAAAATTGGCAGCGGTTCTCCAGGATTACAATTTTTTTTTTTCGTGTCTTATGTTGACTTTCTCGATTTATGCGGATTTTTCCTGTCAATGTATATGATGCCTCGTCAAGTGACCTGCAGGATTATTTTAGCGACTGAAAGTACATGTTTTTTTTTTATCAGAGCAGTGAAAGAAATACTATTTAACCCTTGGGCGGCAAAGTTGGACTATTTTTGCAAAATTTTGTTGCCTCAGAGAGGAAAAGAAAAATATGAAAACAGGGAGTTGAGGACAAAGTCAGGAAAAATTCCAATGTTTTTTTCTTTTTGCACAGAAACATTTTGCAGGAAAATAAAAAAAAATGGTATATTATGCACCAGGCTTTTTGCGGATTAATCCCGACTTTCGCCTCAGCCCACCTGGAAGGGCTTTTCTGACCTTCAGAAAACTTAAATTGGCCCAGCAGACAAAAATAATCCGACTTTGGCCGGCAATGGGAAAAAACCCTCCACCGTCCAAGGGTTAAAAATTTGCATCAGCTTTTACGGCAATATGAAAAATCAAAATTCTTGCAACCACGACAATGTAACACAGAAATTTAATTTAAAAAGTGTATGCATCAGAGGTTCGTTTGTGATCTGAAGCCATCATCAATCCAAAAGATCAAATAATTAAAAAATCGTTTATATCAGTAAACTAGCACTTTTCAAATCAACTCCTTGCCTTACCTGTTATTACTGGCAAGTTTTATGCTGAACAAAAAAAAATGTTTGAAACTCACCTGAAAGACATGCGGAATTTGGCATGAAAAAAAAATCGTGACATTTTTCAAAATTCGACATTGTATTCCCTACACAGAACATTAGGTTGATCGACTACGAAAGGATGGTGAATGATGAAGGTCAAAGAGTTGTTGCGTTTGGGATTTATGCCGGTGTAGCAGGGATGATCAACATTCTGCACGGACTGGGACTGAGATTGCTTGCACTTGGCCATCATACTCCTTTTATGGTAAGGCTAAAAATGTACATAAGAAATCATTTTTCCTGAACCTTATGACTATTTAAAGAAAAAAACTGGGTCCTATTTCATTGGTCAAAACACAATCAAACCTCTTTGCATCAAATCCAGATGTACATACAAATAAAATTCAGCTTTAAGAGTTGTGAGGGGAGAAAACCCGCATTTTGTTGGCAAGAAATTGAAGATATTAAATCTGTGATTTTCTATGCCTCAGAGTAATGGGTGAATGAGTTGTCAGGATACTGAACTAGAAATTAAGGGTACATTTGCTCAATTGTTCCTTTTAAAAACCATCAAGTTAATTACCACGTTTTTATGAACTCACTTTCTTGTCTGTCTGTCTGTTTGTCCGGATCAAATTTTGAAACTCAAATTTCACTCACTTCCCAACTAGCTATCAAGCTGAAACTTTCAGGATAGCCTAGAAACTGATGACAATGCAATCTTATGTGAAAAAATTAATTTTAAGAATATTTTTTAAAAAGAATAAAATAATTATAGTAGATTTCTATAATAAAACTTTGAGCAGGTTTTCCTTGGCCCCAAGAAAAAAA